AATTAGGAAGAACTCAATAAAAATTGCTTTAATTTTTGATGGAAGCAATTTTTTTTGAATCGTCGACATATGATTAGGCCAAACACCGGTAGTTTATTATTAGTTTTATCAATCGGTCCTTGGGTTTTCTTGAACAATGTTTTTTTTTTATTGTATCATTATGCTCTTTGTAGTGTAAAGGTAGTCTGATAGATCCATGATAGATCAGTTATTTAGGCACTCTAACTAGGTACATGCCTACTATAAATTTATGGTTTATAGATAAATTCCTACCTGATTTTGTGTTTAAATTATCTTGAAATATTGTTCTTCTTTGGAAAGCTGCCTGGTTCCATTTAAGCCATAGTGAATGCTACTGAGCCTAATATAAAGGGGTGGCTTTTTCAATTTTTGCTGTTCTGTATAACCAGGGCAAAAACACATCTCATATTTTGAGCAGAACCTATAAGGATCTATAGTACTTGGCTGATATTGAAAAATTTATAAAAATGACAAGTTTTAGAAATTATTTCATATTCACAAATCATAAAAGGGGGGCCGTTAGCGCAAGGTTTTGAAATAACCATGCAAAAAAATACCTATAAATATTAAATAGATAGGTAGGTACCTATTCCTGAAAAGCAAATTGTTTGACGATGCACCGTAATTTATGCGTAACAATGGTAAAACAGAAAAGTGTTTTTTATGTATCTACATATTTGAGTCAATCTTATCACCCTTGCCATTGGCATAAAAAGTGAATAATAAGCCACATAAACATTATACGCTATAGTTGCTGTAGTACCTGAGTTGAAAAATTATATATATAGAGGTTGGCCGACTGAAAATGGTACTAGTCCAGTCAAGATTCGTGTCGGGCTCGGTACCTAAAAAAGTTCTCAATTAATAAGTTAATCGATGATTTTTTAAAATGACTGTTAAAAAGCCGGACGTTATAGACAATTCGCTGGACGCGATTTTGATTAAGTTAGGGGATTTTGGAAGATATCAAATTTTTGTATTTTCTTTAGTATGTGTGGCTGTAGTTTTACATTCGATGGCTCATATCGCCTATGTATTCACTGCAATGGATTTAGATTATAGGTGAGTTCGATTTGAATAAAACTGATGAAGAGCTTATTTAGGGAATTTTTTTGGTAGTGACAATGTACCTAGGTTTCTAAAATACGCAAGTTTTTTTATTTGGTTTTTTAGGTATTCAATCATATTTTTATTGATTGCGGTTTCAATAATTGCAGGTTCATTTACGTACCTTGTTTTTTAAAAACTTGTTTACCAATTATGTTTTTGTCCTGGTTAAAATCTGGTAGTATTGATCACCTGTTTTCGAAAGACTTGATTTGACCAGAAACGCCAGTTTTTTTTTTGAAATTAGATTCAAAAAACCTAATCTGCAAGAAGCAATACTTGTTTTGAGCAGGTAAATTTTGCAAATAATTTGGGCAAGTTTTTTTTGTACTTTGATACAGTTGAGTTATAAGCTCATAGTGGATGTTGGATCATTCTCTATACAGGTAGTCAATTTATTTATTTAGGGCTTCCTTAAAGTTGATACATGAATTTAAATAAAATAATAGATTGGAAAAACTGGAGAGTTTATTTAACATTACTATACCTACGTACAGAATAAGTTTGATTTTCTACCCTGGTTTGTATTTTTGTTTTCAATTTTTTTTGAGGTTGCTCAGAAATTCCATTTTTTTCTGTTGTTTCGTCATTAACTTCTTACTCTAAATTTATAATGACCAAGAAAAATAATGTGTTCTTTTGAGGAATGCTATGCTATTTCAAAATCCAAATGATATTTGTGATAAACCACTTTATTTGGCAAATTAAAATTACAAATATCTACAGGAAATGATTTGTCCATTAAGTAGTGATGCTCGATTCTTCAAAATTCGGAGGTGTACCTTTTTGTTGGAGAACAGCTTTTATACTTTTACCTCATCCGGTTCCAGTTAGGGCTCAATAACTGTTGACACATATTCAAGTGGAAACTTCCTGCCATGTAATTGTATTTTCCACAAACATCAGGCTGTTGTATTTTTCCTTCTGATCAAATATTCCATCTCATTTCATTTTCCATGCTGGAATTTTCATTGTCATTTGCTCTCACCAAGTTGTGTTGGTCTTCAGATTGAAGATGTTGCCTAACCTGAATATGCTATGACCGCAAGTTCTTCATCAGCAACAATTCCCGGTTTATCAAATTCGTCAGATCTCTGTTGTCTTGAATGCCAGTACCTGATTTTCAAGATTCTCGATAGAAATTTTCATACGCCTTCTTTCCAGCCGTGGCAAAAAAGAAAGGTAGGTTCCGTTTTCTATTCAAAATATTCCTGGATATGAAAAAAAAGCAATTGGTTAGCGATTTAAGATAAAATGTTTAGAGACTTCTGACGTACCTACTCTCTGTATTAAGAAGTCTACGAATTGACACCCTGTTATAATAACATAATTGGTAGGTATACCTTCTAGTTAAAA